TTCCTTATCATCCGCACACAATAAAAATAACAATAAAAAAGTAAAATAAACATATTTCTCAGGACTGGGAGACAAACATAAATCCAAACCTCCCATCCAGAAGACATCTGAAATTGGTATTAATGTCCTCCCTGCAGTACACTGTGGACTACAGCAACACATGTGGCTTATTCTGAGAGCTTGGGACCCCTCTATATCCACAGGACAATTCATACGACTAGAGTCCTGACAGGATTCCCACAGGATGTGCATGTGGCAGAACACAGCAGAGATGCCTATGGTATTGTTTCCTAATTGATTTCTGGTCAAGCACAGTTACACTAGGTAGCTTTGGAAAAGTCAAAGCACCTATAAAATTCAGAGAGTAAAGACATTGAAATAACACACCTAAAACAGAAAACCTGTTGAGACACAAAGTATTCTGACATGAATTTTGAGGTGCTTTCTAGCGTAGATTCCTGAACTAAGCACAGTGCTTCATAAACACCTCACATAAGGAGGCCACTACCTCACTATTCCATAACTAAACAGACCCATGAGTGAACTTGACTCACACCCACAATGACCCTGATAAATAAGAGAAGGAACTGATTTAGCACATCGCATATATCTTAACCCACAGTTAAAGCCACTTTCCCCATAATGCAATAAATTTATAAGTGAAAAAGTATTCTCAATGAACATAACCTTTAATCCAGGCAAATCTTGCTAAAAGCAAGCTTGATATTTACACAAAAGATAAAATAAGTGAGTATTTGCTTTATGAAGGAATTTATCATAGAATTGCAATGAGTTATCTGTGTGTACTTTTAAAAAGTTAATTCTATCTACAGCTTTGTATGTAGATATATTTTAAATCAAAATAAAAAAGCAAAATATGAATATCAATTAATAAATCATAACTATCTCTTTAAAATTAAATTATGTATCTTGTAAGTAACTGAACAAAGAGAGTAGATAAAAGCCTGGAACCTTTTTTGGTTTTTATGACAGGATCATGTTATGTTACCCTGGCAGCTTAGTTAGATGCAGCGCAGACTAGCCTTGTGATCTCTGGCAGCCCTATTGCTTCAGCCACCTAAACACCGGCAGTAGAGGGGTGTGCCACCGTGCCCAGCTCCAACACATATTTCTAAAAGGGAGCCATGTTAATTTTCACAATTTACTATTTGCATATTTTGAAAGACAACATATTGATGACATTGTTAAATTTCAAAACATGTACTTCAAGATTATTTTTATTACTGGTTTTAGTTTTGTGCATGTGTATGTGTGAGTGTGTGCCATGTGGATGCAGGTACCAACAGAAGCCAGAGGTATTGGATCTCGTGGGGCTGAAGTTGCAGAGGGTGGTGAGCTTCCTGAAGTAGATGCTGGAACTGAACTAGGGTCTTCGGAAAAACAGTATATGTTCTATAACTACTGAACCATGGCTCTGGTCTTCTCAAACTTTCTTTTGAATCAGATGTTAGACAGTAACTTCACTGTGTTAGCTGGATTAAGAATCTTGGCACATATAGGGAAGCAAGATAGGTGGGACAAGGAGACAAGGAGGATTCTGGGAGATGTAGTAGAGAGGAGTTGAAATGTAGGCTATAGGAGGAGTAAGAGGTCTGGACCCTCTCTTCGGAAAGATAAGACCACGCAGAAACACTTAAATTGATAGAAAGGGGTTAATATTTAAGACAGAGCTAGCTAATAAGAAACACTAGTAACAGACCAACAGTTTCATAACAACAACAAAAGAATCTTGGCACATTCTCTGGGTGTCTTACATTAATGAATACTTGTTTTATCTGTGTTAAATACTTCTTGCTAAAAGTGAACTCTGAACTCTATTTTAACTTTGACATTTGACAAGTGAGAGCATTTATTTTCATGTTTGCATGAGTGGTGTTGGAATGTGTGGGCACAAGTTTGTGGAGGTCTTTACATCTGTGTGGCAAGCCCTTTCCCCACTGGACCTCCTCTCTAGCACCAAAAGTCAAACTGTTTGAAGTATTTTTCATCTTCCATTGAGATGGCCTGTCTTCTCCACAACTCTACACTGTACATGTGTGCAGCTGCTTACATACAAGTGCATAAGCCACATTACCAAGAGGATTCACTCACAAGCAGATCTAATTAACAATATGAATCACTCAGAGGCCCTGGATGAGAGTCTGAGGAGATGAAGAAACCAACCATAGATGATCTGAAAGGGGTCTCTTCTAGAAATGAGGAAGGCTGGGGTAGTCTACACACTGTGTATATCTGGAAAGAACAGAACATGAGGACAGCGAGTAGTGATGTGCCCAGTTACTAACTGTCTGGAACTTGACTACGGGTCTTCTTTCCTTATCTCCTATAAGCCATGACAACCAAGTATTCCGACTGTGGTCAACCGGTGCGAAGTGGAGGTGGGTGAGTGTTCACAGCACAAGAGGTGTCCTTGCTGGGAGGTGAAAGGGGGAGCTGCTGGCACTACCCTCCCCAGAGCAGAGATGAGCACCAGAGTCAGCCATGTCCAAGCCAGGAGACAATAAACATGAGGACATAAGAGATACGGACAATGACAATAATGGATTCCTAACATCACAAGCCAAAAGAGGACCTTATTTGGATATAGGCTCTCTACAGAGACAAGTGATGATGGGGGTGATGAGGCAGGGCCACAGTCCAGTGTGACATTATGAAATGTCTTTTTATCTTCCTCGGTGCCTTATGAAAGAGAAATTCAGAAAAGAACAGTACAGGGAAACCCTACTGAAGATGGGGCTGGGGAGGAGACCAGCAGAGACTGCTGGTGGCCTGTGAGGAAAGCAGGAAAACAAGGTTTTCTCCCAGCACCAGGAGGGAACCAGGGACCTCCAGGCCCAGCACACGGTTTTGTCTCAGTCATCTACTTTGCGGTGTTTTGTCACAGCAGCCTAGCAAGGAATACAGATGGCAAAGGGAGAAACAGAAGCAGTCTGGCCTAGTCAGTACCCTTAAGCTTTCTAAAAGCCCCCCCCCTTTACACCTTGTGTGGTAAAAACAAAACAAAACAAAACAGGGAAAGAAAGAAACAAACACAAACTATGTTGACTTAAGTGTGTACCAAGTGCACACTGGTCAGAGTTTGCTCGGTCTTGAAAAGAATGACTAGGAGAGGGCACAGGCGCAAATCTGAGGGTCACAGAGCAGTGGCGGTGGAAGCGGGAGACACTTCCTTTCAGAGAACAGAAGCAGAACTCATCTGAAAGTTCCAGGGCGGAGAAAGGAAAGAGGGTGACTGAGGAGCAACAGGCTTGGCCGTGCAGGGCATTTGTCCACGGTTGTCAGAGCGCCGAGAGCCCACACAGGCAGCAGGCAACGGTGGGGCAGTAAGGAAGCAGGATGGCCAGATGGGAGCCTGAGTCACGCAGTAAGTGGAAAGCCAGAGACTGAGGGGTCCACCGGGACTCTGCTGGCATAAAAGTTAATGGAGAAGGCAATGGGGTAGGAAACGGGGAGGAATCGTTCAGGAGAGACACTGGGAACTGGACTAGAGACATGGGGAAGGCAAGGGAGTGAAATTAGAGATTTGAGTCCCATGTGGTGAGACAGTGGCGGTCTTCACACCGGGGAACAGTAACATAACCACCTGTGTTCTACTCCTGGAGTGTCCTGACTGACCAAGAACCTTGGAGACCCTGGGGTGGAGGAGACAGAGGGTCACTGAGAGCAAGCCCTGTGAATTTAGAGGCAACACTGCAGTTGGCACTATCCTGTTCTTTCCTATTTACTCATCTACTCATTACAGTTTTTGAGACCAGTCACATCAAGCCGAGGCTGGTCCCAAACCTGTTAAATAGCCAAACACGACTTTAACCCTGATCCTTCTGCCTCCACATGCTGGGATGGGCACATTTCATGTCCCACACCAGGTCAGTGTGCCCTCATTCAAACCAGGCGTTCAGCATCTCCATCTGAGCAACAGTCCTGTCCGGTGCTGGGCTGGGTTGGACAGGACTGAAGCAGTAATGAGGGTAGCATCACCTGACTGCACAGCATTTACATTCTTCACCTAATGTAGAATTTTATCTGAAATGTTCTAGATCTACCAACCTGAGCTTCTGTAGTTCAACAAAACAAAATTAATCTGGCTGCTACCTGGGGTGTGGTTTTTGTTTGTTTGTTTGTTTGTTTTGTTTTTTTGTTTCATCACATCCAGCAACAAAATAGGGGGCCTGTGGTATCATTTTGCTGTGCTTGAACAATAGTTAGTTTTCTATTTATGTTGCAATTGGTTTTGTTTTGTTTTCAAAAAGAAAGCCAATATTAACAGATCTTAATAAGACAATTTTCTAAGAAAAAATAATTTGGTAATTAACTTATGCCTTTTCATATCTCAGAGGTCTCGATTTCAACTAACTGCAGGTGGTAGAAGAGACACATGACATCAAACTACCACACATAACATAGGTTTTTCTAAAAGACTATTTAGAATTAAGACCACTACTAAAAGAAAAAAAAAAAAAAATCCTACCTATCCTACCTATAGTTTACTAAAGTCCTATAAACTACTTAGCTATCTAAAGTTAGCTGGTGAGTCATTTCTTTTGTTGCTATAGGATATACATCTTGGTTTCATTATAGCTCTTCACTCTAATAAGTAAGCAAAACTAGCCAGGCAGAAGCAGAGAGTGGGGAAGCCTCATGGAGATGGGTCATTTGGCATTAATGCTGGTATCACAGAAGGGCTGAGGCTCGTTAAGGTCAACATCATGAAGATTTAAATGCCTTTTAGATAGAGCCTGGATTTCAGTGACTAGGGCAAGAATTTCCAACTCTATCAAAATAAAGAATGTATTTACAAGTCTTCTATATCTATCATGGACTCCATTTCAGTTGTCCTTATATTACCATCCATGTGCCTTACTCAGTATGCTTTGAAAGCAGCCACAAATTCAACTGCTGTCACTCAGGAAGAACTATCCAGTTTCTTAAGAGACACAAATGGAATAACCCAAGCAAGCTCCAGAGACATGAGCACTCACTCATGGTGACGGGCATCTGGGGAAAAGTGAACCATCCTCTTGTTACTGGTGGGGCCAGGAGCAGACGTCTGAAAAAGAGATTCCAAATGACAAAAACAAGTCACCATTGGCTTGCTAAAGACAGTGCAGGGCTGCAACAATCTGAAGATAGCTTTCTGAATGGAGGAAAGAAGATTAACTTTTAAACCCAAGACAAAATGGCTGGCAAGGAGCCAAAGTCCTTGTAAGAGCAGTCCTATGAGGGATGGAGAGTAGTGACAATCTGAGCTCTGTGCTTAGCACCCACCTGAAATGCCAACTCTATGGGCTCCAAAGGGCTCTTTGATATTTTATAAAAATAAATCTTCTCAAAGGAGGTCCTTTTGGTCTAGCAGAGTCACTCTATTAGATTATTAAGACAGGGTCAGACCATCTCTACCATGGTGTAAGCACCATGGTAATGGACAGAGCAGTGACTGCCATCCAAACACTGTCAACCCAAAGTGAGAAGAGGTTCAACCCAATTGATCACGCCTGAGCAGATGCTGCTTTTGTGAACCCAGTTTCTGTGGTAAATTTCTAAACACAGAAGCTTGCATTACAGTGTCAATTCAAGCAACAAAAGTACTTCTGTCAAAGGAGCAGCCACTGGTCCTTTCATGTATTTTCTGCAAAGGAAGTAATTATCAGGGTGTATGTATGCATGTGTGTATGTACACACACACACACACACACACACACACACACACACATCTCGAGTGAAATGTAATCTTAGCAAAAGGAACAATATTTGCTCCTCTTTTCTATATAAAATTAGAAACTCTGCAAGGGAAACACCAAGTGTTTCATCTACAGTGTCAACTGCTCAGGTCTGTTATGAACTTCATAGCATTCCTGTTCTACCCAAGGCTCTCAAATGAGCAAAAGATAGCCATGAATAGGTGAATCTGGCATAACCAATGACAAGGGACGAACTTACTCTGAGTCATGTTCCCTCATTATGAAAGCCATGCCTGTTTACTTACACAAGAGCCACTTAACCACAATAGAATAAAAAAAAAAAAAATAGAAAATTTGGGAAACTTTCTTCTTGCATCCTCTGAGTAACAAGGATGCCAGCCTCCACTCTCGCATTCCTAGAAACCCAAACAGGGCCAGTGTGCAGGAGGTGACAGGAGTGTGTCCAGGGTGGCACACGGTCACATTCCACATTCATCTTGGAGAGCAGCTTCATGTCATCCCAGCAGGTATCCCTGGAACACAGTAATCCATTTTCTACACTGGAGCTGTGAGAAAAGCCGCCTGGGCCCGTGTCATGGTTTGTTAGACGTCCATGATCACATTATCTCATGGCGGACCTGACACTTTTATTCAGTTTACAGTATGTTCTATGTACAGGCAACTTATTTCCTTTGCCAGGGCTGCTGACAACCTTTTCCACACTATATTAATCTTGTTTACTGACTTTATCTTGGTACAAATATCAGAAAACTGAACTTTTTATCTCAGAGAAAAAATAAGCAGTATGTTGACAGAGCAGGAGCTATTCTCAGGGCTAAAATTGCTTGTTTACCTGAAGCTACACTCACGGGAAAAATGTTTAAGTCTTGCTCTGGCTTGAAATACATAATCTGAAATTTAATAAATGAAGAAATTTCACATACACCCATGTGATAAATTGCCTGATGAAAACAATACAGGGGAATATAATAAAACATAACTTCTAACAAGTTTATAGCACAATACAAATGAAAGCTTTCAATCCAGTCAGAAGTAATCTCAATGGATATTTTTCAGGAATTGGACACATCTAAAAAAACTCCAAGCTTCAACTGCAGCAGATGATTCACAGAGGACTTGGAGAATGAAATGTAGACATTTAAATAACTCTACATGTATGTTTACCTGGTCATGGCCTTGGAAAAACACAAATGACAATTTTCTCCAGTTCCTTCATAATGCTGGGACCCTTTAATATAGTTCCTCATGTCGTGGTACCCCCAACCATAAAATTATCCCATTACTACTTCACTTATGAATCATAATGTAAACATCTGATATACAGGATATCTGATATGTGACCCTAAAGGGTCACAACCCACAGGTTGAGAACCACTGAACTAAAGTATCACTGCTGTTATTTTGTGAGGGTCACACCTCAGAGATCAGTATCTTTACAAGGAGAACCCTTACCCCAAATCTGAGCATACCATCTGAAATACAGAATCCCTCCATGGAAAGCAGGACAGTACTGAAGTCAGAGAACATTTTAAACTTTCAAGATACTTAACAAGATTGATTATTAGAATGATACATTAACATTAAATGATATTATTAACCTTCCATAAACATATTTAAAGAATTGTAAATATTTATAGCTGTTCTAGGATTAATACAGGGTCTATAATAGTTATAAAAATAGAATGAAAAGAGAGACAGCTAAGTGGTTAAAATCACTGTTGCTCTTTCTGAGGACCTGGGCTTTGTTGGCCAGCAACCACATGGTGGCTCACATCCACCTCTAGTTCCTGAGACCTGGTGCCCTCATCTGGCCTCTGCACGTACCCTGCTACACATACATACACTCGTGCACACACATGTACACATACAGTAAAATAACCTCAGAAAAGAAAACCTGGAGGTATAAGTACAGCCCTTGGACCTGCCCCTGAAAAAATTTCCAAAACCAGATCATTTGGTGATTATGTAATCCAGGGAAGTTTTAGAAAGAAATCATGAACTATTTTAAGACACATCTCTTTAAATAGCCAAATCAAATATGCATACAGTCAAGGATATTTCTGGATTTATTTGAGGCAGGGTCTCATTATATAGCCCTGGCTGGAGTTACAACTCGCTATGTAGACCAGGCTGACTTTGAACTCAGAGATCTTTCTGCTTCTGCTTTCCAGCACCTCCCTAGTGCTGGGATTAAGGGTGTGCATTGCCATGCCTAGCCGGATAGTTAAGTTTATTAGTACCAAAAATTTTACCTCGTATGCTTAGTGGGAGAAGAGGCACTTTGCTTTTTCACACAAAACAGTATTTGTATAACACAGCGTTCTTGGGAGTCATAGAATTCAGAGGTTAACATTTATTTAATTAGTCAGTGTTAGCAATAATGATCCCAGACATCATACGGCGCGCTCTAAATCTTTAGGGTTCAGTTGCTAAATATTACTACATCGGTAGTGACTGTAGTTCTAATGTTCACTTACATTATTTGTGCTTGTGCAAATTAAAACAGAACCTCAGGGCCAGAAAGGGGTTTCTATATAATGTAACTTTTCTACTATGATTTCAGCTTCTGCTGCTGTTGTTTACAGCTTTGTTATGAATCTCAGAAAACACTGTGGTACTGAGAGATGAACATGTGGGCACAACTGTATAAGGTAACAGCTGCTGACAGAATGGAGTGCAAGCAAGTGACCCTGTGGGGAGCACCTGCACCCCCAGCTTCACAGACACATCTGGAGCCAGGCCTTGCTCTTCTCTGTCCCATCATGGTGTCTAACACGATGACTGGCGGTCCTCGGAGACAAGCAGTGCAGTTGGTTTTCATTTTCCCATTGCCAAACCTCCTGCAGGTTCCCATTACAGAGCTGACATATCTGTCCTTGAATCAGAAACTGAGCTGACACACGGGTGGTCAGACTGGGACAGGGGCTGCCCTGTGCGGACTGCACACTACTCAGGGCGTCTGTGTTAAAGGCTCTCACGGGATGCAGCTCCACTCTGACAGCAAGATAGGAAACCAGCAGCTGTGCTCCCTCCCTCCAGCAAGCCTTCCCATCAACCCTGTGCTCATTTCCACCCGCACTCGCACTCAAGTTGCCTCTGCACACTATTCTGCCCCAGTGCTCACGATGACAAACACTAACCTTGGCAGACTGCCATTCAAAGGAGGGCTTTTCAATTTGGTGAGGGAGGCCTGGCTAGTGAAAGCCCTGTAGCCTCCAGGCTGAAGGGAGGCAAGGCCTGAACAGCCTGCCAGTTTGTCCAGATGCAAGTTTCCTCTTTTCTTGGGATAATGATTAATTTGAGGACACTGAGGAGAAAAGCCAGCCTTCACAGTTAAGCAGTCTCTTTATGGAGGCCTCAACTATGCTCAACTAACGTGCCAGTAAAATACATGTGACAGCTGTTAAGAAAACCACCCAACAAAGACAAGTTTCAAAATATGACTTTAAAGCTTTCGGGCAATGGGGAGTGAGAGCTGGAGGAAATGGTGGGGAGGGGAAAGAACAAAACAAACAAACAAATCCCTCACCCCAAACTACAACAGCAAAAACAACGAAAAACCAACCAACCAACCAACCAACCAATGGACAACCACTAAAACCGGGAAATTGTTTCAGCCAGGCACCTGCGAGGCTCTGCTCTCATAGTTTTGTTGCAAGTTAGACAGGGGTGAATAACATACTTTACTATGCCATCCATATACACAATATTACAGACTGGTCACAATTCACAAGGGTACAGTATCTTTGGGCACTGACACAGATTAAAGAAAATAAAGATTATAATTACTTTTAAAGCCAAACTCAAAAACAGTAAAAATTACTTTGGGACAACTTATAAAACCCACAAATGTGTGCAACTGAATGATAACACCACAGTAAAGGGAAACACCCAGCCATTTGGTTTAAGAGGAATAAAGGGGGAAACAGCCCTTCCAAGAAGGTAGCTGTATGCAATTTAGGCCCTGCTCCATCCGTCTTAGCAACTTCCTAGGTTTACCTTTCCAAACCACTGCTCTGTGCCTGGCTCCACAGGCCAGGAGAAGGAAGCAAATGTGAGCCCACTGCAGACGCTGCTCTCTTCAGCTGTCCACATCTGGAGGGAACAGACACTGCACGCAGGAGCCAGACTGCCCTGAATACAGTAGCACAGCCAGTATCAAGGCATGCTACACACAACTGACACTTAGAAGGAATCTAGCATTTATACACAATTATGCTTACACTTGACTATATGACAAGGACTATATAGTTCCCATTCAACCGGGTGATTTTTGGTATACTATTACTAGGAAAAAAAAAAAAAATCTTAAAAGTCTTGAGTTACATTCCAAGCTTTACTGCTATTT